TGTTTCCTTTAAGTCCACATGATTGTTTACCAGTGACAATGTTGATGGTGCTCACATGGTGTTTCCTTTAAGTCCACATGATTGTTTACCAGTGACAATGTTGATGGTGCTCACATGGTGTTTCCTTTAAGTCCACATGATTGTTTACCAGTGACAATGTTGATGGTGCTCACATGGTGTTTCCTTTAAGTCCACATGTTTCAGATGCAGAGCTGTCACCTGGATGGGTGATGTCTGTGACTCCTAAATAGGCGTGGTCAGTCTGATTGACCAGGCAGGTCACTCAGACTGAGACTGCCCCTGACAGCTCTGACTGCAGACGCTGCTCCCTCTTTACCACAACGGTCCGATACAGAGACCGCATCACTGCGCACGCTGCACCGATCCGCCTGTCAATCTCACGCTCCATCCTCCCCTCACTCGTGAACAAGACCCCGAGATACTTGAACTCCTCCACTTGAGGAAGGGCCTCTCCACCCACCTGAAGAGGGCAAGGCACCTTTTTCCGGTCGAGCACCATGGCCTCGGATTTGGAGGTGCTGATTCTCATCCCAGCCGCTTCACACTCGGCTGCAAACCGTCCCAGTGCATGTTGCAGGTCCTGGTTCGTTGGAGCCAACAGGACAACATCGTCTGCAAACAGCAGAGATGAAATCCTGTGGTCCCCGAACCGGACCCCCTCCGGCCCCTGGCTGCGCCTAGATATTCTGTCCATAAATACAGTGAACAGAACCGGTGACAAAGGGCAGCCCTGGCGGAGGCCAACATGCACCGGGAACAGGTCTGACTTACTGCCGGCAATGCGACCACAGCTCTGGCTCCGGTCATACAGGGACCGGATGGCCCTCAGCAGAGGACCCCGGACCCCGTACTCACGGAGGACCCCCCAAAGGACACCCCGGGGAACACGGTCGAACGCCTTCTCCAAATCCACAAAGCACATGTGGACAGGTTGGGCGAACTCCCATGAACCCTCGAGTATCCGATGGAGAGTATAGAGCTGGTCCAGTGTTCCGCGACCGGGACGAAAACCACACTGCTCCTCCTGAATCCTGAATAAATCCATTGGGGTTATTTATTATTTTAATCCTGTGTGTGCTTTTAATGTTTTAAGGTTTTTAATTACTTGTGATTTTATTCTGTTTTCAATGTATTTATTTTTAGTATATGTATATGTAGATTTGAATGTTTCTGATTTGTTTGATATGATGTGGGCTGTGAGGCGCTTTGAGTGGCCTTGTGTTGAAAAGGCGCTATACAAATAAAGTGTACAGTGCCTTGCGAAAGTATTCGGCCCCATTGAACCTTTCAACATTTCGCCACATTTCAGTCTTCAAACATAAAGATATAACATTTTAATTTTTTGTCATGAATCAACAACAAGTGGGACACAATCGTGAAGTGGAACAACATTTATTGGATAATTTAAACTTTTTTAACAAATAAAAAACTGAAAAGTGGGGCGTGCAATATTATTGGGCCCCTTTACTTTCAGTGCAGCAAACTCAGTCCAGAAGTTCAGTGAGGATCTTTGAATGATCCAATGTTGTCCTAAATGACTGATGATGATAAATAGAATGTACCTGTGTGTAATCAAGTCTCCGTATAAATGCACCTGCTCTTTGATAGTCTCAGGGTTCTGTTTAAAGCGCAGAGAGAACCATGAAGACAAAGGAACACACCAGGCAGGTCCGAGATACTGTTGTGGAGAAGTTTAAAGCCGGATTTGGATACAAAAAGATTTCCCAAGCTTTAAACATCTCAAGGAGCACTGTGCAAGCAGTTATATTGAAATGGAAGGAGTATCAGACCACTGCAAATCTACCAAGACCCGGCCGTCCCTCCAAACTTTCATCTCAAACAAGGAGAAGACTGATCAGAGATGCAGCCAAGAGGCCCATGATCACTCTGGATGAACTGCAGATAACTACAGCTGAGGTGGGGATGGTGTGTTCATGGTGATGAGCTGTGTTCCTTTTATGCCCAAACATATCGTTTTGCATTGTGGCCAAAAAGTTCGATTTTGGTTTCATCTGACCAGAGCACCTTCTTCCACATGTTTGGTGTGTCTCCCAGGTGGCTTGTGGCAAACTTTAAGAGACTTTTTATGGATATCTTTGAGAAATTCCATGCCTTCCATAAAGGCCAGATTTGTGCAGTGCACGACTGATTGTTGTCCTATGGACAGACTCTCCCACCTCAGCTGTAGTTATCTGCAGTTCATCCAGAGTGATCATGGGCCTCTTGGCTGCATCTCTGATCAGTCTTCTCCTTGTTTGAGATGAAAGTTTGGAGGGACGGCCGGGTCTTGGTAGATTTGCAGTGGTCTGATACTCCTTCCATTTCAATATAATTGCTTGCACAGTGCTCCTTGAGATGTTTAAAGCTTGGGAAATCTTTTTGTATCCAAATCCGGCTTTAAACTTCTCCACAACAGTATCTCGGACCTGCCTGGTGTGTTCCTTTGTCTTCATGGTTCTCTCTGCGCTTTAAACAGAACCCTGAGACTATCAAAGAGCAGGTGCATTTATACGGAGACTTGATTACACACAGGTGCATTCTATTTATCATCATCAGTCATTTAGGACAACATTGGATCATTCAAAGATCCTCACTGAACTTCTGGACTGAGTTTGCTGCACTGAAAGTAAAGGGGCCGAATAATATTGCACGCCCCACTTTTCAGTTTTTTATTTGTTAACATTTTTTTAATTATCCAATACATTTTGTTCCACTTCACGACTGCGTCCCACTTGTTGTTGATTCATGACAAAAAATTAAAATGGTATATCTTTATGTTTGAAGCCTGAAATGTGGCGAAATGTTGAAAGGTTCAAGGGAACCTTTCAACATTTCGCCACATTTCAGGCTTCAAATATAAAGATATAAAAATTACACACTAAAGCTGCTGAAGTGGCCAGTGCCAGATTACAATTAGTTTCAATTAACACCATTCACTATAAAAAAACACATTGGTTTGACAAAACTACCAATCGAATAAGTTAAACCGATATTGTCTGGATTGACCTTATCAAATAGATCGATAGATCGATAGATACCTTACTGATCCACGTAGGAGAAATTCAGGTAAAAAGTTTTGATTAGAATAAAGCTGTTAAAATGACAAACGTTGCCCGTTTGATCCATGTGACAAAGTCTACCTTCCTGCTGGAGAGCAGCTGCAGTCCTGTCGGCCTCAGAGAGCTGCAGCTCCAGAGCTTTCTTCTCGTTCATGCAGCTTTTCAGCTTCTCTTTCAAATCCTGCAGCTCGACTTTAAAGGCCTCTCTCTCAGCGTCATGTGAACTCTGCTGAAGCCACACACACACACAGACACACACACACACACACACACACAGACACACACACACACACACGCACACGCACACACACGCACACGCACACACACGCACGCGCACACGCAGTGAATATATTTTTATTAATGGGATTTAGCTTCATTTGGATCAGAGCAGGTATGTCAAAGATGGCGCCTCGTACGGTCGACACGGCTCTTTGCTGCTCTCTTTTTCTTTTGTTTTTACTTTTTAACTGTGCATCTGGCTGTTCCTACACCCGTGAGGAACTTATGAACATCCGACCCACCGTCCCCATGGACCTGTTGCCTGTTTTCTTGGCATCTGCGGCTGATTTAGTCCATGTTCTAGCCAAAAAAGTGTGGGCCCGTAAAAGGGGAAAGCGCGGAGGCTGCTCGTGCGTCTGAGGAGAAGACGCACGAGACGCTCACTGGGCAATAAGACGAACTCAGCCTGCTCATGAGAAGAAACAAGGACTTCATCCTGTGTCCTCTGCTTCACTGAGACCTGGCTAAATGAGCGGATCCCGGACTGCGCTCTGGAGCTGCAGGGCTTTGGGCTGTTCCACACGGATCGCCATTGTGCGCTCTCAAGGAAGAGCAGAGGCGGTGGGCTGTGTTTCTACGTCAATACAAACTGGTGTAACGATGTGACAGTGATCTCCAAGCACTGCTCTCCTGCTCTGGAATATCTTTTCATTCATTGTAAACCATTTTACTCCCCGCGTGAATTTGTTTCATTCATTCTTGCCTCTGTTTACATACCGCCATGCGCGGACGCAGAGCAAGTACTGTGTATGGAACGCTTATACCCGGACTCTCTGATTATTATCCTGGGGGATTTTAATAAGGGAAACTTGAGCCAGGAATTACCCAAATACAGACAGTTTATCAAATGCCCGACCAGAGAGGAGAACACTCTGGATCACTGTTACACCACCGTGAGCGGAGCTTTTCGCGCTGTTCCCAAGCCAGCCCTCGGCTTCTCAGATCACTCCATGATACATCTGGTTCCTGCTTACAGACAGAGACTAAAGCTCTCGAAACCTGCAGTGAGGAGCTCCAAAGTGTGGTCTGATGAAGCTGTGGAAGAGCTGCATGCATGGAATCTACAGACTGGGACCTTTTCAGAGCTGCCACAGATAGTTTGGATGAATACACGGACACTGTGACGTCATACATTCACTTCTGTGAGGATAGCATCATTCCAACAAGGACCAGGGTCATCTATAACAACGACAAACCCTGGTTCACTGCTAAACTCCGGCAGCTCAGGAAAGCAAAGGAGTCTGCTTTCAGGGAGGGGGACCGCAGCGGCTACAAAGCAGCTAAATATCAGTTCAGGAAAGAACTGAAAGCAGCCAAGTCCCGGCACAGAGAACGACTACAGGAGCAGTTTGGTAACAACGATACTGCTTCTGTCTGGAGGGGCCTACGGGAGATCACCAACTACAAACCCAAAGCCCCCTCCTGTGCTGACGACCACAAGCTAGCTGACGAACTGAACTTATTTTTCAGTCGCTTTGATGCTGCCCCTGACACCTCTCCCTCCCCCACCCCCCACTACTCTAACGACCCACCCATCAGCCCTGCCCCCAGCCTAACAATAGCCGCTAAAGAGATTAAACAACTCTTCTCGAGGCTGCACCCCCGCAAAGCTCCTGGCCCGGACCACGTGTCTCCGGCCACTCTGAGACACTGCGCCAGTGAGCTTACTCTTGTGTTCACTGACATTTTCAACACCTCTCTGCAGTCCTGCCATGTCCTGGCCTGCTTCAAATCCCCGTCCCGAAGAAGCCCAGGATCACAGGACTCAATGACTACAGACTTGTAGCACTTACGTCTGTCGTCATGAAGTCATTTGAACGCCTGGTTCTCTTCCATCTCAAGTCCCTCACCTCCCCCCTCCTGGACCCCCTGCAGTTCGCCTACAGAGCCAACAGATCTGTAGACGACGCCATTAACCTGGCCCTCCACCACATCCTACAGCACCTGGACTCCCCGGGGACCTACGCCAGGGTCCTGTTCGTGGACTTCAGCTCTGCCTTCAACACAATCCTGCCATCCCTGCTCCAGGACAAGCTCTCCCAGCTCAACGTGCCCGATTCCACCTGCAGGTGGATCACTGACTTCCTGACGGACAGGAAGCAGCGAGTGCGTCTGGGGAAGAATGTCTCGGACTCTGGGATTATAAATACAGGAGCCCCACAGGGCTGTGTTCTTTCTCCCCTGCTCTTCTCCCTGTACACCAACCACTGCACCTCCAGCTACGACTCCGTGAAGCTGATCAAGTTCGCGGACGACACCACCCTCATTGGACTCATCTCCAACAACGATGAGTCCGCCTACAGGAGGGAGGTGGACCGGCTGGTGTCCTGGTGTCTCCTACAGGAGGGAGGTGGACCGGCTGGTGTCCTGGTGTCTCCTACAGGAGGGAGGTGGACCGGCTGGTGTCCTGGTGTCTCCTACAGGAGGGAGGTGGACCGGCTGGTGTCCTGGTGTCTCCTACAGGAGGGAGGTGGACCGGCTGGTGTCCTGGTGTCTCCTACAGGAGGGAGGTGGACCGGCTGGTGTCCTGGTGCAGTGGTAACAACCTGGAGCTGAACGCCCAGAAGACAGTGGAGATGATTGTGGACTTCAGGAAGAGCACTGTCCCCCCACCCCCACCCTCCGTGATGGACTCCCCCATCACCTCTGTGGAGTCCTTCCGTTTCCTGGGCACCACCATCACCCAGGACCTCAAGTGGGAGCCGACCATCAGCTCCCTCATCAAGAAGGCCCAGCAGAGGATGTACTTCCTGCGGCAGCTCAGGAAAGCCAAGCTGCCTGCACAGATGTTGGTGCAGTTCTACACGGCCATCGTCGAGTCCATCCTCACCTCCTCCATCACCTCCTCCATCACCTCCTCCATCACCTCCTCCTTCACCTCCTCCATCACCTCCTCCATCACCTCCTCCATCACCTCCTCCATCACCTCCTCCTTCACCTCCTCCATCACCTCCTCCATCACCTCCTCCATCACCTCCTCCATCACCTCCTCCATCACCTCCTCCTTCACCTCCTCCATCACCTCCTCCATCACCTCCTCCATCACCTCCTCCATCACCTCCTCCATCACCTCCTCCTTCACCTCCTCCATCACCTCCTCCATCACCTCCTCCATCACCTCCTCCATCACCTCCTCCATCACCTCCTCCATCACCTCCTCCATCACCTCCTCCATCACCGTGTGGTTCTCTGGAGCCACAGTCAGGGACAAACAGAGACTACAGTGCATTGTGGTCTCTGCAGAGGAAGTGATCGGCCGCAGCCTTCCATCGCTGCAGGACCTGTACGTCGCCCGAGCTCGAGGCCGGGCTGGTCGTATCACAGCCGACCCCTCTCACCTGCACATGGACTATTCCAACCACTCCCCTCTCACCTGCACATGGACTATTCCAACCACTCCCCTCTCACCTGCACATGGACTATTCCAACCACTCCCCTCTCACCTGCACATGGACTATTCCAACCACTCTCCTCTCACCTGCACATGGACTATTCCAACCACTCCCCTCTCACCTGCACATGGACTATTCCAACCACTCCCTTCTCACCTGCACATGGACTATTCCAACCACTTCCCTCTCACCCTGCACATGGACTATTCCAACCACTCCCCTCTCACCCTGCACATGGACTATTCCAACCACTCCCCTCAGGCAGGAGACTGCGGTCCATCAGGACTAGAACCTCCCGCCACAAGAACAGTTTCTTCCCCTCTGCTGTTGGACTCTTGAACACTTCTTAACCTGTCCCCCCGCCCTTTATAAAGTCACTTTACTGCCCATCATACGTCACTTTACTTCACTGTACTGCTGTCACCTTACATTGTGTGCACCATGTGCACTTGTATATTGTAAATAGTAACTAACTCTATTTTAATTTATTCTTTAGAAGTGTTTTTTATTCTTATTTTTATTATCTCTTTTTGACTGTTGCACTGAGCCAAAGCAATTTCCAAGTCTGTGACCTCCTGTTACTTACGTGGCAATAAAAATGATTCTGATTCTGATTTTCATGATTCTAATGTTGTAGAAGCAGCTCTCGGTGTCAGACAGAGATCACAGTCGGTCACCGTTAAGTAAATGTTTGTGATGAATCATTTCTAGTCATCTATGAGTGAGAGAAATGGGAAGAGGAAAGTCTGTCATTTGTACTATTTTCATACTGTATGGTGTAAAATAAAGACACCTGAGAAACTGGCAAAACTCCTTTCATAAAATTGTGGTGAAAACGATAGTATTTGTAGTGACTGTTATTGGAATGTATGGAAAAAAAACAAAGAATAACATGAGAAAAAATCAAAGCACCTTTAATTTTGGCCCTTAATCATCATCTTGAGAATATTTACTTCAGACATTAATGGTGAGATTTAAGAAGAACATGTACAGTGTACTATAGAACCATAGACTGTAAATATTAACAGACGTAGTCAGGCCTATCTGGGCCGTTCTAACTAATGGGCCAAAAATTGGGCTTTCATGGAGTGATTCAAAATGGCCGCGGGGGCTGGAAAATGTGAAAAACACATCTGTGCATGCGTCAGCTGCACGAGCTCCATTCATTTAAACGAGAGACTTCTAAAGTCCACAGCGACTAAACTAGACTGGTCCAGAACACTCAGCATTGACACACATGTGGAACGGAGCTTTGGACCAAGAGACACTTTTGGACCATCCTGTAAAGGTGTTTTCCAGAGGTAAGAAGATGCTATATGTTAGCATTGGCTAATTCTTATTCCAGGTCCACCCCCACAGGCCCGGGGTGGTACTGCAGCATGTCAGCGCATGTTATTTTGACCACTTTTGAGCCGAGACCCGCCCCCACTGGTATGATGAGGTTTGTGTGTTTTTTGTGGTGTGTGTGTTCTTTGTGGTGTGATGAGCATCTGCTTCATTCGACCCTTTTCAAACTGTATTTCTGTTTTATTTGTTCACAGGTTGTTTTTTTGATTATGTTTTGATAAAAATATTTTTGTTGAAATATACTTTAAACTTTTGTTCTGAAACGGCAAAATATGCAGCGTTTATTATAAGTCAAGTCGGAAACATAAGATTTACTTCTACCTCCTCCTTTTCAAATAGTGTATATATGTTTTCTTTTCCATTGTATTGTATTATAAATAATTAATTCAAAACAAAGACAACAAGAACTTAAAGTCTGTTGCCATGGAGACGTGCCATCTCGAAAACCAGACTTCTTTCTTACTCTGCAAAAGACAGAGATTTTATGCTGCTCCTTTTGATGCTTCGGTGGAAGATTGTGTTTCATTTTGGTTTAGTTTAGAGTTATTGTAAATTTATCTCATGCTGTGTGCTCTTCATTCCTACTGCCTGTAACTTGTGATGCAACTCTGACATTTCCCCAGAGTGGGACGAACTAAAGATCTATTACTGTTGACCTATGATCTAGCGACATATAAAGAATGATTATTATTAGACATTATTTAAAACAATAGATGCAGTTTCTCCTCATAATGAAAGAATCAAACCTGATTCTGGTAGAAGCTCCGCACGTCGCTCAACACACCATGGACCTGAGAGATCTGCTCCAGCGCCTTCTGCAGCTGGACATGGGTCTCCTGGTTTGGTGCTGGCGGAACGTTACTTTTCTGCACTTCTAACATCTGAAACAAAAGAAAAAAGTGATACATTTAAAAGAAAAAAAACAGAAGACATCGCAAAATGTAAGCAAAACATTACGACTGCCTTCCAATTGGCGTCGAAACGGACAAAACGGTACAATTACAGAGCGATAAAGTGGATCTGAATAACTGCGTGCTCATTTACAGACCGCAGGAGGTCTTTTCAAGCAAAGTTTGAAGGAACAATGCCTCGGTCTCATTTAGCATCAGCCGCAGAGAAAACCAACAATGAAAAGAGTATTTTGGTATAAAATGGTCACGTTTTGCTTAAATCTAAATGGCTCGTATGGTTGGTGCAGTGAAATTTAAAAGAAACCTCTTTTCCAGCGCTGCTTTCATCGACGAGAACCCGCCACCTGATTCATAATAGCTCTTTTATACTAATAATGAGGGATAAGAAATTGCTCGCAGCCGTTAAGTGCTACCTCTGTTTTTTATGGCAGGGATGAAAGCTTCTAAATACTAAAAATGAAGCGGAATAGCTCCATTGAAGAGCGGCGTCTTCTGTCGTGGGTAATGTAGGTTATTGTCGCACTGGAAGCTCGTTTTAAAATATGTTTCATCCCAAACCGTGAAACGTTAGAATCCTGCAGCTGGATGAGAGGTGACCCAGATGATGAAACCTGCAGATTAGAACTAACTGTAATTAATATGTCTTCTATAGGAAAAGTATGATTCATAAGAAAAACTGAAATAGATTTGAAAATTAGGGATTAGAAATGAATTCATGTTTTCTGATCATATATAAGTTTTTTGTAAAGAACTTAAAGTTGCCCATGTATGAATTGTGCCACAGGAAAAGGTTGCCTTAAAATAAAATAAGGTTTAAATATTGTACATAAATGTCTTAAATCAGATTGTTGCTTCAGAGCAGTCACAGAAACATTTACACTTTTAGCAAAACTCACTTGGTAAAATACTGTAGACTTTAGACCGAAGGTTTTAAATGAAACTTTAGATGCAGCAGTGGACAAAACTGGTCAGAATCAGATATTAGGAACAATCTTTAAGAAAGGTACATTTTGACACAAGGTGAATATTTCTGACCTTCATCATTTTAAAACATATTGTGTAATGTATCTGTTATATTTGAGTCTGTTCTTACTGTATCTCTGTCGAAGTTATTAAAAACCCACATTGTTTGCATAAATTCCTGGAGCACCTGGTTAACCATAGCACATGGTTGTTTCCATGGAGACGGTTTAGTACACAATATCACACACCATGTTTATCAAGGGTTTGCACATGGTGCCCTTGCACATGGTCTGGGGCAGGACTCGCCTGAAAAACAGATTCTGAAATCTCAGTGGGACTTTTCTTTAATTAGAGTCAATAAATACATAAATAAACCAGTGAATAACCTGGAGTGATAAATATCCTCATGACTGATCTTTTTAGTCCAGTTTTCGACAACACAACAGCCGTCATCTCTCAGGACAGTACACAACTGTCAACAACAGATGTTTTGTGTAGGGGCTCTCCTTTTATGGACAGGTGTTACAAATGAGCAGTCTTGCTATAACACTAAAAACAATGTATCTGGTTTGTCCAACGCTATTGTTATGTCCATACCAAATAAATAAATAAATAAAATAATAATAATTAAAATCACAAATAAAAAAATAAAAATAAAAAAATCCCAAAGGAGTCATTGGACCAACGTCTGTAAATACTTGAACACATGTCATTTATTCAGTATTGTTTTGGAACATTAGAATCTTTTTCAGTGTAACTTGGGAGTTAATGTGTTTAATAACCTTCTGTGGAACTGTGGATTATTTATGAGACTTTTTGTACAATTCTGTTAAAACTGAATTCATCGTTACAACAACATGGAGATTGTTGATTCTGGAGGTCAAAGGAAACGTGTGGCGCCGACGCAGATTCTGAGGTTCTGGTTTTGTTGCTTTCGTGTGAACCAAGAATAAAAGGTTTTCCATGAGACGCATCTTTTGTTGTTTTCTTCCAAATTATTTACATACGGAAAATGTAATAATACCCCAATATTTCCAAAGAATATTTAGATTTCAAATACTAGAAAAGGTTATAGCTGATATTTTCTATAAAAAACTTACATTTTATCACAAAATATACGCGAAAAAAGCTGGCAGTAATTCTTTCAATTTATCACGAACCTCAACTGGATTCTGGAGGAAAATATTACAAGAAATATGCACGATACAGACCATTTTGCAACACACCATAATCATTTGCAATATTCTTAATCCAAATTGTGTGTAAAATTAAAAGAGAAATTGCCAAAATGAAATGAATGAAATTGAGATTGACAAAGACAGAAGCCATGATTTCACCGAGGTCTGCTCTGGGCCCGTTCTAAACCGTCACCGTTAGAATTACTTTTCATTAATCCAATCCACTTTATTTAAACAGCACATTATATAAAACAGGGGGCGACAGTAGTTCAGTTGGTAGAGCACTAGCCTTCAGGCCTGAAGGTCGTGGGTTCAATTCCCACCTCCACACCTTCTCCACCGACTCCCACTGATGACTGCTGTCGTTGTGTCCTTGGGCAAGACACTTAACCCCACTTTGCCCAAAGCCCCCACTGAAAGATCAAGGCTATGCTCACAGTCAGAGAGCAGCCGTCCTCCTGTGGACTCACCACCTGCAGAGGGTCAGTGAGGGGCTGGTGCTATGAGACTTGGGTGGCATCTCTGACTGCCACCCCCCTGACCCAGAAATGGATTAAAGGGTAGAAAATGGATGGATGGATTATATAAAACAAGTTTCCAAAGCGCTGGTCACAGATAAAAGTAACTTTAAATTCCTTCCCAGACCAACTTCTCCAAACAGCCCCCATTTTCTCACACCAATTAGCGCCATTAATTCAAACATAGAAACACATAGAACAACACGCACACACAGCCATACAAAGAGACAAAAAAGGCACAAATTGCTTCCTGTTTTAGGGCCCGGCGTCATTATACCACCGCGCATCCGATCGCAGAGGTGTGAATGGCTTGTGTTGTGAAAACAGATGAAAACAGTGGCGCATACAAGAGGTATTCAAGCCCAGGGGGTCTTTTAACATGAAGTGAGAGTAAAAGGGGCTGAATTGTATGAGCCGTGGGGGGTGCTTTTCACAGGTAAGGACCCCTGCTAGGCGGCCTATTGTGCGCCTGTCCGGTAACTGTGGGACGGCGAGCACAAAAGCGACAATTGCCATATATGCTTTGGGTGAAAACATAAAGGTGTCGGGCAAAGACAGGTTGTGCTTAAAGACGGTCATTCTCTCCGGCGCCAGAGATGACGCTAATTACAGAGCGGGGAGGGGCCAAAGGGATGGGTTATAATGGGAGCAGCTGGAGCAAGCACAACACTGAGGCGTGTGTGTGTGTGTGTGTGTGTGTGTGTGTGTTACTGTGTGTGTGTGTGTGTGTGTGTGTGTGTGTGTGTGTCGCTGCTTTGTCTTATGGCTGTGAATGGAATGACTGACAAGCAGAGGAGGGAAGATGTACTCGAGTAAATACTGTCACATGGTTTGACATAGTCCTAAAGTGAGATCGTTGAATTCTAAGCCTAAATGTATCCGAGTATGTCTTCATGATAATGTAAAATGCACTCATGGTGAGTTCAGGCTGTTTTTGTTAGGTCTCCACTGGACGTGCATTACCACCGCAGACACAAAGTTATTGGAAATCTATATTAGAAGAACAAATGCAAGTGCGAAACACTCAATTAAAAATAAACGTATAATGTATCATTTTAAACATAGATGTAGTATTTTGTTTTATGTTCATTAAAGGTCTTGAAACACTGGTTCACAATTGGCAGAGTCCAAGCATTTTGTGATTCATTTTATCGTCAAATTATTGTATCGTTAAACATATGTTTAAAGTGTTGCACATTCTTTACCAGTCTGTAGCTAGTGCCGTGTTCTTCGGGGTTGTGTGTTCTTCGGGGTCACGTGTTCTTCGGGGTTGTGTGTTGGGATCAGTCTGACCTCAGAGACAGTGACCGGCTCAGGCTGATCAAGAAGTGTGTCTCTGTGATGAGGAGAAGTGTGTCTCTGTGATGAGGAGAAGTGTGTCTCTGTGATGGGGAGAAGTGTGTCTCTGTGATGGGGAGAAGTGTGTCTCTGTGATGGGGAGAAGTGTGTCTCTGTGATGGGGAGAAGTGTGTCTCTGTGTGTGTCTCTGTGATGGGGAGAAGTGTGTCTCTGTGATGAGGAGAAGTGTGTCTCTGTGATGGGGAGAAGTGTGTCTCTGTGATGGGGAGAAGTGTGTCTCTGTGTGTGTCTCTGTGATGGGGAGAAGTGTGTCTCTGTGTGTGTCTCTGTGATGGGGAGAAGTGTGTCTCTGTGATGAGGAGAAGTGTGTCTCTGTGATGGGGAGAAGTGTGTCTCTGTGATGTGGGAGAAGTGTGTCTCTGTGATGAGGAGAAGTGTGTCTCTGTGATGGGGAGAAGTGTGTCTCTGTGATGGGGAGAAGTGTGTCTCTGTGTGTGTCTCTGTGATGGGGAGAAGTGTGTCTCTGTGTGTGTCTCTGTGATGGGGAGAAGTGTGTCTCTGTGATGAGGAGAAGTGTGTCTCTGTGATGGGGAGAAGTGTGTCTCTGTGTGTGTCTCTGTGATGGGGAGAAGTGTGTCTCTGTGATGGGGAGAAGTGTGTCTCTGTGATGGGGAGAAGTGTGTCTCTGTGATGGGGAGAAGTGTGTCTCTGTGATGGGAGAAGTGTGTCTCTGTGTGTGTCTCTGTGATGGGAGAAGTGTGTCTCTGTGATGGAGAGAAGTGTGTCTCTGTGATGGGGAGAAGTGTGTCTCTGTGTGTGTCTCTGTGATGGGGAGAAGTGTGTCTCTGTGATGGGGAGAAGTGTGTCTCTGTGATGGGGAGAAGTGTGTCTCTGTGATGGGGAGAAGTGTGTCTCTGTGATGGGGAGAAGTGTGTCTCTGTGTGTGTCTCTGTGATGGGGAGAAGTGTGTCTCTGTGATGGGGAGAAGTGTGTCTCTGTGATGGGGAGAAGTGTGTCTCTGTGTGTGTCTCTGTGATGGGGAGAAGTGTGGACTCTGTGGGAGCTGTGCTGGAGAGAAGCGGCTCTAATGCAAGGCATCCTGGGTAACTCCAGACACCCTCTGCATGACACTATGGCCGCTCAGAGGAGTAACCATAGCAACAGGCTCCTATACTACGCTGCCGAACAGAACGTTTCAAGAGAACCTTTGTTCCTTCGGCTGTCAGACTGTACAACAAACCTGGATGAGTCTTCTGCTGCTGGACACCTGCATTTCTCCTACAGGGGATCAATAAAGCATCTATCTATATGTAACAAAAACAGGTATATTTTTCTGTGATATAACTGTAAACAACACAGAACCCCAGCAACACGAAAATCATACTACAGTTCATTTTAATTCCCGAGAACAGGAGACTTTCCATTGTACCAAACAAGCTAAATTGGTAAAATATCTATTGTTATATATTTGTTGATATACTGCAGAAGCATAAAATAGATGCTTCTAGATGCCAGTCCCAAACCCTATCAAGAAAATCAACTTTACAATAGTACAAACCCTGGCTATAAAAGTGAACCGATAGTAAATGTTGCGGAACTGACTTTAACAAATAACAACCACAGAGCAGAAATGGCTGGATGATATGGATTAGATAGATGGACAATTTCTGTTTTATAATGAACTGAAATTCCCCCCCTGTGGGCCCACCACCTGCAGAGGGGTCCGTGGCGGCTCGGTGCTGAGAGGACTGGGCAGCAGTCGAAGGCGGAGACCTCGACGACCCAGTCCGCACACACAACAGCTGGCTCTCGGGATGTGGAACGTCACCTCACCGGGGGGGAAGGAGCCCGAGCTTGTGGGGGAGGTTGAGCGATACCGACTAGAGATAGTCGGCCTCACCTCCACACACAGCTTGGGCTCTGGAACCCAACTCCTTGAGAGGGGTTGGACGCTCCACTTTTCTGGTGTTTCCCGCGGGGAGAGGCGGCGAGCTGGGGTGGCCATTCTCATTGCCCCCCATCTCAGCTCCACGTGTTGGAGTTCTCCCCGGTGAATGAGAGGGTCGCGTCCCTCCGCCTCCGGGTGGGGGACAAGTCTCTCACTGTTGTGACGGCCTACGGGCCTAACAGCAGTGCAGAGTACCCGGCCTTCTTGGAGTCCTTGGGAGGGGTACTGGACGGTGCACCGCCCGGGGACTCCGTTATTCTCCTGGGGGACTTCAACGCCCATGTGAGAAACGCCAGTGACACTTGGAGAGGGGTGATCGGGAAGAGCGGCCCCCCTGATCTGAACCCGAGCGGTGTTCAGTTGTTGGACTTCTGTGCCAGTCACAGTTTGTCCATCACGAACACCATGTTCGAGCACAAGGGTGTCCACCAGTGCACGTGGCACCAGGACACCCTAGGCCGGAGGTCGATGATCGACTTTGTTGTCGTATCATCTGACCTTCGACCGCGTGTCTCGGACACTCGGGTAAAGAGAGGGGCGGAGCTGTCAACCGATCACCACCTGGTCGTGAGTTGGATCCGCTGGCAGGGGAAGAAGCCGGTCAGACCTGGCAGACCCAAGCGTGTAGTGAGGGTCTGCTGGGAACGTCTCGCTGAGCCCCCTGTCAGACGGACTTTCAACTCACACCTCCGGGAGAGTTTCTCCCAGGTCCCGGTGGAGGAGGGGGACATGGAGTCCGAGTGGACCATGTTCTCTGCCTCAATCGCCGATGCGGCGGCCCGTAGCTGTGGTTGCAAGGTCTCTGGTGCTGGTCCCGGCGGCAACCCCCGAACCCGGTGGTGGACACCGGCAGTAAGGGATGCCGTCAGGCTGAAGAAGGAGTCCTATCGAGCCATGATGGTTCGAGGGACTCCTGAGGCAGCTGTCCAGTACCGGCAGGCCAAGCGTGCCGCGGCCCGGGCTGTTGCAGAGGCAAAAACCCGGGACTGGGAGGAGTTCGGAGAGTCCATGGAGCATGACTATCGGTCGGCCTCAAAGAAATTCTGGCAAACCGTCCGGCGCCTCAGGAGGGGGAAGCAGTTCTTTGCCAACACCATGTACGGTGCGGGTGGAGAGCTGCTGACCTCGACGGGGGATATTGTCGGGCGGTGGAAGGAATACTTTGAGGTTCTCCTCAATCCCCCCGTCACGTCCTCTGTCTCAGAGGCAGAGGCTGAGGATGCTGGGGCGGATACATCCATCTCCCTGGCTGAGGTCACCAAGGTGGTTGGTAGTCTCCATGGTGGCAAGGCTCCGGGTGTGGATGAGATCCGCCCTGATTATCTAAAGTCTCTGGATGTTGTAGGACTGTCTTGGCTGACACGTCTCTGCAACATCGCGTGGCGATCGGGGGCGGTGCCAATGGAGTGGCAGACCGGGGTGGTGGTCCCTCTCTATAAGAAGGGGGACTGGAGGGTGTGTTCCAATTATCGTGGGATCACACTCCTGCGCCTCCCCGGTAAGGTCTACTCCAAGGTACTGGAGAGGAGGCTACGGCCGATGGTCGAATCTCGGATCCAGGAGGAGCAGTGTGGTTTTCGTCCCGGTCGCGGAACACTGGACCAGCTCTATACTCTCCATCGGATACTCGAGGGTTCATGGGAGTTCGCCCAACCTGTCCACATGTGCTTTGTGGATTTGGAGGCGTTCGACTGTGTTCCCCGGGGTGTCCTTTGGGGGGTTCTCCGGGAGTACGGGGTCGGGGGTCCTCTGCTGAGGGCCATCCGGTCCCTGTATGACCGGAGCCAGAGCTGTGTTCGCATTGCCGGCAGTAAGTCAGACCTGTTCCCGGTTAATGTTGGCCTCCGACAGGGCTGCCCTTTGTCACCGGTTCTGTTCACTGTATTTATGGACAGAATATCTAGGCGCAGCCAGGGGTCGGAGGGGGTCCGGTTCGGGGACCACAGGATTTCATCTCTGCTGTTTGCAGACGATGTTGTCCTGTTGGCTCCAACGAACCAGGACCTGCAGCATGCACTGGGACGGTTTGCAGCCGAGTGTGAAGCGGCTGGGATGAGAATCAGCACCTCCAAATCCGAGGCCATGGTGCTCGACCGGAAAAAGGTGCCTTGCCCTCTGCAGGTGGGTGGAGAGGTCCTTCCTCAAGTGGAGGAGTTCAAGTATCTCGGGGTCTTGTTCACGAGTGAGGGAAGAATGGAGCGTGAGATTGACAGGCGGATCGGTGCAGCGTGCGCAGTGATGCGGTCGCTGTATCGGACCGTCGTGGTGAAGAGGGAGCAGCGTCTGCAGTCAGAGCTGTATCGGACCGTTGTGGTAAAGAGGGAGCTGAGCCGAAAGGCAAAGCTCTCGATTTACCGGTCAATCTTCGTTCCCTCCCTCACCTATGGTCATGAGCTTTGGGTAATGACCGAAAGAACGAGATCGCGGATACAAGCGGTCGAAATGAGCTTCCTCCGCAGAGTGGCTGGGCGCTCCCTTAGAGATAGGGTGAGGAGCTCAGTCACACGGGAGGAGCTCGGAGTAGAGCCGCTGCTTCTCCACGTCGAGAGGAACCAGTTGAGGTGGCTCGGGCATCTGTTCCGGATGCCTCCTGGACGCCTCCCTGGGGAGGTGTTCCGGGCACGTCCCACCGGGAGGAGGCCCCGCGGAAGACCCAGGACACGCTGGAGGGACTATGTCTCTCAGCTGGCCTGGGAACGCCTTGGGGTCCCCCCGGACGAGCTGGAGGAAGTGTGTGTGGATAGGGAAGTCTGGGCGTCTCTGCTTAGACTGCTGCCCCCGCGACCCGGCAACGGATAAAGCGGAAGAAAATGGATGGATGGATAATGAACTGAAATTATAATATCTGTTTTTGTGTGAGAGCTGACGAAACGATAGCCCCGACCTACTTTTGTTTCTGATGGTGTCAGTAATAAGCTGTATTATTTGTTCTAAACTGTCATTCACTGCATGTTAGACAACGGCCAAAGAGGAATATGAAAGTGTTACAACCTTAGATGGATTTTATTGTCATTATTTTTTATGGTTAGGCCCAACTTCACTGTATTTGCAGATATTTGTTTTGGCTGAAAGCGTAGGAATGGACCCCCCGTCTCCTGTCCCGTCACGTATGGCAGCCGGTGACAGAAGTGCCGTAGCACCCACCACCCCCACACGGCCGCTCTAAACGCCTGAAGGCCGCAGCTCACACCCCTGTCCCGTAGCGTGGCTCAGCCTGACACCACATCTCACGCCTTTGTCTGCGTCTCCCTGTTTGTGTCAGTGTTTTTCATGTGCAGAGAATATGGACTGTGCTATACAACCCAAATCAATTCATTTGAGGCCCTATTCAGGCAAACAATATACAGTATGTACATTAGCATTTATTTGGTGATTACTATTGATGGGTAATATCTACACTGTCAAAAACCACAATGAAACAAGTGCAAAAGGTCTGCGGTGGAAGTACATTCTGTGATATAATATCCTTATAGCTATTAGTATTGTTTCCCTGTGCAGCTAAAGGCCTGGGCTTGTCTGGTCTAGTGTGCTGGCATCCATTATGTTTGCCATGTTGCAGAAGAAGCCATTTAGAGCTAGAACCGGCTCTATAATCTGGAGCCTAATTTGTGTGCAGAAACAACCAAGCAACCAAAGAGCCAATCAAGAGTGAGCCTGGTCTGATCATGTTTGTGCAAGTCGCTAGTTCAAACCAAATTTTGAAACAGAAGGCACCTGATTGGTCAGTCGCCAGGGGTCGGATCTGGACATCCAATAAAATCACAAACATTTCTCAATCAATGGTTAAGAAGCAAGACTTAACTTTTCACTCTAACTTTTCACTTCCCTAGCTTCATAGAGCTAGCAGTTAGCATTGTCCATTCCTAAATAGTCTCAGGCTTAATCAGTTTGTGTTTATGGTTCATCGAGCAGAGATTCAGATGTGTTTTGAACATTGGATTTTGATGGAGAAGACATTTCTCTGCTCTGCAGCTCATATAAATGCTGGGTGTGCTGATTTGTGGATCCCACCTGGACGGCCCATCCCTCGGCCTGCTGCCTCAGGCTCTGCTCCAGCTCCAGTCTCTGCCACATCTCGGTGAACTCCTCCGTGACGAGCTCGGACACTGCGTGACAAAAGCATCTTCTGTCAGAGCTTTTCAGTCTGAGGAGGTTTCAGAAGTGACTGTGAAACCTCCAGTTGTATTTGCAAAAGCTACAAACTTTTGCAAATACAACTGGACCTGCTCTAGTTTAGGTCAGACTAGGGCTGCACATGGTATAACTTCAGTGGATCACAAAAGAAACACAGCATTAGTCTTTTCAGAAGAAGTGAAGGGACATTTGTGGCACTGGATACTTCATTTTACTTCTCCACAGGTGAAGCAGAGTTCACTTCAATCCGATCCGCAGACAGTGTTCGGTACATGTAGACTAAACATGAGCTTTACAATCGCCAGTGCATCTTCCTGTTTTGGATTATGTTTCTTCAGCACTGTCCTTGTCAAATCAAGCAAACCAGTAAATTGTGGCGTATCGAACTTCGAAACCATATGTAAAAAATATAATCTATGTGACTAGTTCCTCGCTCTCAAAACGGTTCAGAGCGATCACGAGTTTCCACAGAAAGATTCTGCGACAGAATCAACTCTCAGAATGTAAAAGATGTTTTCTGATAAACACGGCATGTTGTGGTCAAGCCAAATGTTCTGTTGGACAAACAAAATACACATCAACAAGATTCAGATTCATTTATTTGCCATTTGCAGTAAAACCACATTGGAAAAACTGTGCAAGACAACCCCAGTGTGCACCAGACGACACACACCAGAGCTCTCGCCACAATAAGTTAGTGATTAAAAATACCTACAAATGTGAAAATATGTAAAACTGGTCCAAAACCTAATATTGAATGAGTCTTTATGCTAAACTTCAAATGGAATCAACGTTTAATATATTTTGTGTTTTTATACTTTCAGAAAAAGAGATCTATGAAAGTTATCAGTGATCTGCAGCTGTGTGAACACAAACATTTCCTGCGTCCGACTGAACCAGATGCAAGAACACTTCTTAACCTGTCCCCCCGCCCTTTATAAAGTCACTTTACTGCCCTTTATAAAGTCACTTTACTGCCCTTTATAAAGTCACTTTACTGCCCTTTATAAAGTCACTTTACTGCCCTTTATAAAGTCACTTTACTGCCCTTTATAAAGTCACTTTACTGCCCTTTATAAAGTCACTTTACTGCCCTTTATAAAGTCACTTTACTGCCCTTTATAAAGTCACTTTACTGCCCATCAGAGGTGTGGACTCGAGTCATGTGACTTGGACTCGAGTCAGACTCGAGTCATGATTTTGATGACTTTAGACTCGACTTGACCAAATGTAAAAAGACTTGCAACTCGACTTGGACTTTAACATCAATGACTCTGACTTTCACTTGGACTTGCGCCAATTGACTTGCAAAGACTTGCGTAACCCGGGCCATTTTTACCTTTCTCCGCATCTCTCTTTCTATCTATGCCGTCTCTGAAGAAACAAAGCCTCGCGGTAGTTGTAGCGCTCGCGCGAGAGTTCGAACGTGAGTTCCCCGCAGTTCGCGCAGCAACACTTCCCTAAACAAGCACACTGCATTCACCGGTGGGTGTGTTGTCGTAGGGGAGCTGGAAATGAGCGAGCTGCAGATATTTATCGCGACCTAACGTCATACTTTGTTCTACAAACCGTAATTGATATGCTTTCACTACAGGCGCCTCATACAATTGAATCGACGCAGTTGTCACACTGTGTGCCGTGTTTTAAAGAGGAACTGGTGAGTCAAACTAGCGCTAGCCTGCGCTGCTCTGTTGGCTCTTTCTTATATTTTTCTGTGTGGGCGCCGAGGCCTATTATTATGAGTATGTTTTTGCTGTGCTCCTCCTGCTAAAGTTTGCATACATTAGATAGTTGTTTTGATTATGTGATTAAGCTAGATTAATATTTGCACTATTGTTTATGGTTCATTGATATGAGAATCAGTACTTTGACTGATTGAATTAATTTATATGAGACATTTTATTATGTAATGATATATTGGTAATTATGAGATATTACTATCAATCAATCAATCAACGTTTATTTATAGAGCGCCTTTCCTACACAAGGCAACGCAAAGCGCCTCACAACCCATATAACATCATGCATAAATCATCAAACATTAGAATTTAAGTAAACATAAAAGACAGATTAAGAGCACAAGATATATAAAATCACACAAGTAGTTAAAAACCGTAAAACATTAAAATCACACAAGGGATTAAAATCATATATAATCATAAATAATCATAGTGCATTAAAAAGATTAAAGATAAAAACAAATATAAAATCATTCACTTGTATGCACAGCTAAAAAGAACTGTTTTCAGTTCAGTTTTAAAAACTGCTAGAGTAGACGCCTGTCTCACACTCTCAGGAAGACGGTTCCAGACTCTAGCTGCATGAATCTGAAACGCAGCCTCCCCATGTCTAGTTCCGACTCTTGGCACTAACAGAAGTCCAGTCCCTGTGCTCCTCAGAGCCCGAGTTGGTTCATATGGCACCATATACTAATGCTGGCCCAGTTCATACAGGCCAGGTTCCTTCCCCTCCATTGGTCCCTTCAGTCCTTTGGAACAATAACCACTACGGACATTAAACTGATTATATAGATACAGGTCCTAGCCCAATACTCATATTCATATATGCTGCACTTGCTACTTCCCATTAAAAACCCCAAAGATAAAAAGTATGTTGACACGGACTGCTCTGATTTTATGTGTGGTCTGTGCATGTGTAACTGAGCCTGCATCTGGCACAACATAGTTTTGATTTACCAGCAGCCAACCACATGGAACAAACTGTTAGTCCATGGATCAGAGACCAACGAGAATGCACCAGCAAAATGATTCCTAACATTATTTTGTTTGCCTACAAAAGTACGTGGAGACCAACAAGAAACAAATCGCGGTCAAAAAGACTCGAGAGGACTCGAAAGTCAAACCGTAGGACTTGGGACTGACTTGAGATTTGTTGGCCTTTGACTTGGACTCGACTCGGGACTTGCCTGTCTTGACTCGTGACTTGACTCGGGACTTGAGGGCAATGAATTGAGACTGACTTGTGACTTGCTAAACAATGACTTTGTCCCACCTCTGCTGCCCATCATACGTCACTTTACTTCACTGTACTGCTGTCACCTTACATTGTGTGCACCATGTGCACTTGTATATTGTAAATAGTAACTGTAACTCTATTTTAAATTTGAATTTATTCTTTAGAAGTGTTTTTTATTCTTATTTTTATTATATCTTTCTGACTGTTGCACTGAGCCAAAGCAATTTCCAAGTCTGTGACCTCCTGTTACTTACGTGGCAATAAAAATGATTCTGATTCTGATAAAGGCAAAACTAAAATAACTATAATAATTGAACACCTCTGTTCCACAAACTACAAACACTCAAAAATCCTTCTCATACTTTCCTCAAAAGACGCACTTGAAAAACTGGTCCTTGAGTGTGTCTCTGGCGGTTACCATGGAAACGGCGGATTTCTCCAAAATTAGCTTAACTGATATCAGTGTTTTTGTGTCTGGTCCAATAGCACTTTATTGAAAGTTTTCAAATGACATCATCTCAGGCACAATTTACAGATGATAAACTGTATCCAACAGTGATAATGTGCTGTTTCTGATCCATTAAAAAACAATAAGTGATAAAATAATTAATTAATTATGCCCCCTTTAAATTCCCTGTGTTTGACATTCTTTAGACTGAGAGCAGCTTTGGGACAGAAACTCACCTCTTTTTATCTTATTCATGGTTTTGCTTTGTTTGTTCATCCTTTTCAATATGTTTTCTTTCTCTTCCTGCTCCGTGGCCAGCTGTGGAAACACACATCTCAACAGATGCTATAAAATATAACCACGTTTAAAGTAAAAGTAATGAGTAATAGTAATTGACCTGTTCTCTCAGAGCTTCCTGCTGTTTGGTCAAAGTGTCCACTTGGTTTTCCAGTCGGAGTTTCTCAGACAGAAGTCCTTCCACTGAGGCCCTCAGCTCTGCACATGTCCACAGTTCACAGACGACACATTAGTCAGGGCCACATCCACAGACAACAGCTGAGCCAACGTTATTGTTGTCATTTTTTATTTCTGGCTTTTAAAAGTTCACAAATGAAGAAAATACTTAATACTCAATTTTTCACTAATGTTAGAACATGTAGAGTTGTACAACATGTGTTTTGTGGTAGAGGATAGGACCTGCTCCGACTGGGATTTGAACCCAAGACCTAAAATGCTAACCACTCTGCAACTGTGCCGCCCTTGATTACTAATTATTGGTATCGACATCGGCCTGAAAAAAACATTAATTAACATAATAATAATATATTAATGTTTATCCATTTGTCATTGAGAGTGAATATGTTGAACGTCCTTCAATAATCAACGATGTGTTGGATCTCATGTTTGAACCAAAACATACGTGTTCAAACTGAAACTAAAATATGTCACGAGACAAAGCACATTTCTTGGTTCCTATATTGGTCTGTGCCTCAGAGCTCGGATCCCCAAATGTTTGTGTCAATTCCTGCAGTACATTCATATATAACTTATATAATATATATATAATATATAAGACAAGGCCTTTCTGTGTGGAGTTTGCATGTTCTCTCCACGTCTGTGAAGGCTTCCTCTGGGTCTAATCTCTGAATGTCATGAGTGGGAGACCAGGAGAGGCTCAGAGGGTCCAGTGCACGTGTGTGAGAGACTCAGAGGGTCCAGTGCACGTGTGTGAGAGACTCAGAGGGTCCAGTGCACGTGGTGTGTGAGAGACTCAGAGGGTCCTGAGGGTGTGAGAGACTCAAGGTCAGTGCACGTGTGTGAGAGACCAGTCAGCACGTGTGTGAGAGATCAGACTCAGAGACTCAGGGTCCAGTGCACGTGTGTGAGAGACTCAGAGGGTCCAGTGCACGTGTGTGAGAGACTCAGAGGGTCCAGTGCACGTGTGTGAGAGTGACTCAGAGGGTCCAGTGCACGTGTGTGAGAGACTCAGAGGGTCCAGTGCACGTGTGTGAGAGACTCAGAGGGTCCAGTGCACGTGTGTGAGAGGACTCAGAGGGTCCAGTGCACGAGTGTGAGAGGCTCAGAGAGCTCAGAGAGGTCCAGTGCACGTGTGTGAGAGACTCAGAGGGTCAGTCCAGTGCACAGGGTCAGTGTGTTGTGAGAGACTCAGAGGGTCCAGTGCACTGTGTGAGAGGCTCAGAGGGTCCAGTGCACGTGTGTGAGAGACTCAGAGGGTCCAGTGCACGTGTGTGAGAGACTCAGAGGGTCCAGTGCACGTGTGTGAGAGACTCAGAGGGTCCAGTGCACGTGTGTGAGAGACTCAGAGGGTCCAGTGCACGTGTGTGAGAGACTCAGAGGGTCCAGTGCACTGTGTGAGAGACTCAGAGGGTCCAGTGCACGTGTGTGAGAGACTCAGAGGGTCCAGTGCACGTGTGTGAGACTCAGAGGGTCCAGTGCACGTGTGTGAGAGACTCAGAGGGTCCAGTGCACGTGTGTGAGAGACTCAGAGGGTCCAGTGCACGTGTGTGAGAGACTCAGAGGGTCCAGTGCACGTGTGTGAGAGACTCAGAGGGTCCAGTGCACGTGTGTGAGAGACTCAGAGGGTCCAGTGCACGTGTGTGAGAGGCTCAGAGGGTCAAGTGCACGTGTGTGAGAGACTCAGAGGGTCCAGTGCACGTGTGTGAGAGACTCAGAGGGTGTTGGACCTGTTATTGTGGCCTGGCTCTGCAGCAGGGAATGGTTCGCTGCCCCGTCGCACTCGTCTCCTCCATGAACCCGCTCAGACCCTTCACACTGGTCTTCATCCAGACAAACACTGGCCTCGAAGTTTTCAGGCAGTTCTGGGATCAGCGGCAGCAGAATCTGGCTCTGTCTTTTTAATACTTTGTTTTCTCTGGTGACCTACGACATGCACAGGGATCCAGACATTAGACAGAACATGGATTTACTACAAAACTAATTATAACAGAGTCAGAACTGAATGTGTTTTTCCACTACGCTAATAATAATAATAATGCTAAAAATATGCTTCTAATCTAGACCCTCTGTTTAATTATTCTTCTGGTGGTTTGATCAAAATCATGGGCAGTCGTCAGAAAGTACATTATCAAACAATATCCTGAGAATCACCGTCATTTCCAGCACTAAAAAATGATATTGGATAGAAACACAAAACAAAGCAAACAATCAGAGCCGCGCTGGTTCTCCGTGTTGAATCTTCTAATAATAAATTGCTGTCTGCATCTTACTTTAAAAAATGTTTCAGTGTCTTTACATCAGGGGTCTCAAACTCATGTACTCAGGGCGCTGCATGAGGTCGAGTCTGGGTGAAGTCTGTATTTATCTTCTGTTTGTGTGTAAAATATATGAACATCAGAAGAAACTGATCCATGCACACGCAGAGATAGAATTAAACTAACTGACTTTTTATATCATGAAGGTTTTTTGATTAGTTTTATATAATTTCTATATAATTCTGTGAACAAAATGACTGCAGCTGCTTGGATTGAGACAAAACTGGACAAAAAGCGATGAGACTTTGCACAGAATTATTGCTTGTTGCTTTCAGGGTTCAATGTTTATGTTAAAATAAATGATAAAGTTTGTTTTCTTGATAAAATCATAAATCGTTGCCATATTACCCTGACGCTCAGTGGGGGTCCCATATGTCACTCTTCTTTCACAGTCCATCCTAAGCACGTGTGATATTCATTTGGGTAATACATCATATAAAACTCAGAGCTTGTGAGATTAAAACCCTTTCTTGGACAGAGATGTCGCCTCAGTGGAAACAGTGGATCTGGTTCTTTCCCCGTGAGTCCAACATGAGCCGAGGCGTTTCTCTCCAGACTCAAAGACAAACGTCGCTCTGAGTCCAGCTCGAGGGAATCAATGAAAACACTTTGGACATGTGTTTGAAGGACTAATGACACTTAATGATGTTTAAAGCAGAAAAGTTAGACGGCCCGCAGGCCACAGGCGTCCCGCAGGCCACAGGCGGCCCGCAGGCCACATGTTGGAGCCCACTGCTGCACATGGTCACATTAACATGGTGCTACCGCCGATCACTGTATTCTAATGTTACTGTTTTACATTTTAACAATACTTAAACATCCCCACAGAACCTAATAACTTACATTTTCATTATTTTTAATTCATTATAAATATTTAGTATTTAATTTTTTTAATACAGGTGGATTTATGACCAAGGAACACTGCACTATCCTTAACAGAAAGTCATTTTCAACAAAATTATATTTAAAAGTCTCTCTCCTCGGCACAACTATAACCAGTGAGATTTGAACCAATCATGAGGGATTGGAATAATTTTGGTCGAATCAAGAAGCTTCAGGAATTTAACTCTTCACAGATTGAAAAGTAAATAACATTTTCCGCTGCAGACCTCAATAAACTATTTAAATGAAATGTATGTTTTTATTTTACGATGCAGTTCCACTAATCAGAGAATAGATGTAATTTCCCAATGAAAACATCACTTGGATTATATATGGGGTAAATATACACACTCTGATCTTATAATATGATCAATATAAATAATATAATATAAATAATTATAATAAAACAGGACGTGCCTCGACAGCCAGAGCCTCCGCCGACTCCCTGCACGAACGCTCCACCTCAAACTGAATCTCCAACATGTTCATCTCCTTCAGCAGCTGAGCGGACGCTGGGACAGAACAAACACATCAGATTCTCAGGTTAAAAACATGAGACAGTTTGACACAATGCAAACGTCATCACAATCATAGCTGCTGTGTTTCCCATTATCACAAAGAGAATCTCACCATAAAACCACAACTTAAAACATGATTTCAAACATATAAAATAACCTGTCTCTGATTGTGTTTGTTTTCTACATATTTTAACATCTCAAATTATTTTATATTATATTGTGGTTGTTGTCGCCCTGGATCTGAATGTGTGTGTGTGTGTGTGTGTGTCTGTGTGTAGAGGAAAAGCAGAACAGAATAAACATAGTGACTCGTTATGAAAGCAAACATTATTATAGATCGTCTGCCCCATTTAAAAACATTATTCATTACCTTCCTCCAGTTCACACAGTTTCTGATTGGCTTCATCACGTTGCTTTTCCAGGATTTCACACTAATCACAAATAAAAAACACATTTATGGCAGTATGAGGATAATTCAGAAGTGATTTGATATATGTAATGTAATCAGACTTGGGTCCAGTCTGTGGTTGATCCTCGCAGTCTTCTCTGATTGTCACTAATGCATTTAAAACACAGTGTAATCAAGTCTTCAAGATCTTCTCTGACAAACTCGTACCTGTAACTGTCCCTCATCTTCAGAGCTGCTCTCTCCGTCTGTGGGAGAAATATATAATCATTATTTTACCCACACATCGCAAATGGATGGACAATAATGACAGAAAACACAGGTGCAGAGACGCTATGCTGCTGAAAGACTGCACAGCCTTGAAAGTGCATTAGTGCGTTTCAGCCGCAGACACATGGAGTAGATGAGAGTTAGAGACACAGAAGGAGAGCTGAGCTAAAGGCTAAGTGCCAAAAGAGCCACTGAACATTGTAGACAGAAGAATTTATGGCCTGGGAAATGTTTGCTACACAATATGTTGATTTACAGCTATTTACAGATGAAAAAGACAGTAAAGTAGAGTGACAGAAAGCTTGTGCAAAAGCCTGTCATGTAAATGTTTACCCAGCTACAATATTACACTTTATCCGCTGCCGGGTCACGGGGGCAGCAGTCTGAGCAAAAACAACCAGACTTCCCTATCCACACTTCCTCCAGCTCATCTGGGGGAATCCCGAACATTCCAGAGCTAGCTGAGAAACATAGTCCCTCAAACATGTCCTGGGTCTTCCTTGGGTGAGACATACCCGGAAAACCTCCCCAGGGAGCCCCTCACCCTCTCTCTGATGGAACGCCCAGCCTCTCTGCAGGGCTCTCTGTGATCACCAGCCTCTCTGCAGGGCTCTCTGGGATCACCAGCCTCTCTGGGATCACCAGCCTCTCTGCAGGGCTCTCTGTGATCACCAGCCTCTCTGCAGGGCTCTCTGGGATCACCAGCCTCTCTGCAGGGCTCTCTGGGATCACCAGCCTCTCTGGGATCACCAGCCTCTCTGCAGGGCTCTCTGGGATCACCAGCCTCTCTGGGATCACCAGCCTCTCTGCAGGGCTCTCTGTGATCACCAGCCTCTCTGCAGGGCTCTCTGGGATCACCAGCCTCTCTGTGGGGCTCTCTGGGATCACCAGCCTCTCTGCAGGGCTCTCTGGGATCACCAGCCTCTCTGCAGGGCTCTCTGGGATCACCAGCCTCTCTGCGGGGCTCTCTGGGATCACTCTCTGGGATCACCAGCCTCTCTGCAGGGCTCTCTGGGATCACCAGCCTCTCTGCAGGGCTCTCTGGGATCACCAGCCTCTCTGCAGGGCTCTCTGGGATCACCAGCCTCTCTGCAGGGCTCTCTGGGATCACTCTCTGGGATCACCAGCCTCTCTGCAGGGCTCTCTGGGATCACCAGCCTCTCTGCAGGGCTCTCTGGGATCACTCTCTGGGATCACCAGCCTCTCTGCAGGGCTCTCTGGGATCACTCTCTGGGATCACCAGCCTCTCTGCAGGGCTCTCTGGGATCACCAGCCTCTCTGCAGGGCTCTCTGGGATCACTCTCTGGGATCACCAGCCTCTCTGCAGGGCTCTCTGGGATCACTCTCTGGGATCACCAGCCTCTCTGCAGGGCTCTCTGGGATCACCAGCCTCTCTGCAGGGCTCTCTGGGATCACCAGCCTCTCTGCGGGGCTCTCTGGGATCACTCTCTGGGATCACCAGCCTCTCTGCAGGGCTCTCTGGGATCACCAGCCTCTCTGCAGGGCTCTCTGGGATCACCAGCCTCTCTGCAGGGCTCTCTGGGATCACCAGGACCACAAAGAGAAAGGAAACTTCTGCACAAACACATTCTCCTTTTATCTAAAATCTAAATGATCTGTTTTCAGAACTTGTTACAGTCTAATTTTTTCAACGGGTGAGAGTGATGTCATAGGATTACGATGACATCATACAGGTTTGAAAAGGGGCGGAGTTACAAGTTTGTGCGAGAACTTCCTGATCGGTGATCGGCCGCAGCCTTCCATCGCTGCAGGACCTGTACGTCGCCCGAGCTCGAGGCCGGGCTGGTCGTATCACAGCCGACCCCTCTCACCTGCACATGGACTATTCCAACCACTCCCCTCTCACCCTGCACATGGACTATTCCAACCACTCCCCTCTCACCTGCACATGGACTATTCCAACCACTCCCCTCTCACCTGCACATGGACTATTCCAACCTCTCCCCTCTCACCTGCACATGGACTATTCCAACCACTCCCCTCTCACCTGCACATGGACTATTCCAACCACTCCCCTCAGGCAGGAGACTGCGGTCCATCAGGACTAGAACCTCCCGCCACAAGAACAGTTTCTTCCCCTCTGCTGTTGGACTCTTGAACACTTCTTAACCTGTCCCCCCGCCCTTTATAAAGTCACTTTACTGCCCATCATACGTCACTTTACTTCACTGTACTGCTGTCACCTTACATTGTGTGCACCATGTGCACTTGGATATTGTAAATAGTAACTGTAACTCTATTTTAAATTTAAATTTATTCTTTAGAAGTGTTTTTTATTCTTATTTTTATTATCTCTTTTTGACTGTTGCACTGAGCCAAAGCAATTTCCAAGTCTGTGACCTCCTGTTACTTACGTGGCAATAAAAATGATTCTGATTCTGATTCTGATAGTAGCTTGAAAAGTATTTTTTCGATGAGTGTGAGTCGAGAGACATATCCTCAGAAATGGTTTGTGTTGGCTAAACAAGCAGGCCTGATTTGTCAATGTTTAGTGATAATCTTTCTATAGTTTTATAGTTTTCTCATTCATTGCCACAAAAAACATCTCATCTTAATAAGTATTTGCAACCGAATCATTATAATTTGTACGCTTTGTCTTACCTGAAGCTGAATCCTCTTCGTCCTGGATCCACATCATGTTTTTCTTCTTGTCTGAACACAAACGTCTGACTCTGGAGCTGTTTGTCGCTGATTGTGAAGGAAGGAAGTGGGAATCTGCCTAAAAACCCTTCCCTAGTCACGACTTAGAAAAAGGGGAACTTGTTCAGTAAGGACAGTATTGGTAATCGCCATAGCAACACAGTCAAACTCAAGTCTGTCTAAAGTCGCCCGACATAAGCTCCTTTTAGATTGAAGAAATAGAGCAGATTGTAGTTACCGGTCTGGACTTGTATTGGACGAATGCTGTTAAATTGTCTTAGAGGGGAAATATTATAAAAAGGGTTTAACAAGATTTTATCATTTATTATTGATACTGATTCATGCAAACATTACTATTGACATTGTGAGGACCCTTTTTTTCCATGAGCGAAAGCAGTCAGTTTTTTCCAGCTGGATGTTATGGTAAACTTAACTATAAAACCAATACTCATGTCTTCAGCTGAAACACAAAACCGGATTTTAAAACTTTAAATGTACTTGAAAGTTTACACACCGCACAAAAGATTTTAGTGTTTATTTATTTATGTATGTTTATGTGAATAGGGACGATACACATTACTCAACATAGCTGTAAATGTGTCGGTATTAGCTAACAGCTAATAGCTAACTCTCGTCCCTATGTCTTGCTCATACATTGTAGATTTTGAATTATAACAAACACAATTTTCACGCATGGTCAGAGGTCGTGTGAAGCCTAAAGTTGTCAAATGAAGGAGCTTTCTGATTTCATAATAAAACGTCATTGAGAATTTACATGAAATGGAGGCTTTTTACCAAAAAGAATGAGCAGTTTTACCATCAGAGGATTCATTCATGACCACTCAGACTTTGGTCGAATCCCTATGAACCAATATCATGTGTTTATGTTGACGTTGTTAAGTCCTCTTAAGTCAGAAGACCACATTGCTTCTCTCAACCGTTGACAGTTGGTTATCATTCATAATATCTGAAATATTGCCTTTTAAATAAACAAACAGCAGGCAACATTTCCCCGTATAATTGTGTAAGAGGTCAGTAGATTGAGTGGTTATAATAAATAGCTTTTTCTTGTTTTTTCAGAGTAAAATGTGGAGAACTTGTGATCCTTGCGATTGTGGGCTCTTGGGAACGCCGCTGTCTCTACGCTGCACGATCAGTGTCACTCACCGGCCGCGCTCGCTGCACTTTTAGCATCTGTGCTCAAAGTTCATGACCTGCAACTGCCAGGGGAACGGCATCATGGGTAATCACTCAGGAGAAGGCAAAGGCTAAGGATGCTGCTGATGCCCTCGCTGAATTATTCACAAACTCAAATTTATCTTCTCTTACTCGTGATTTATTCATTCATCAGCCTTCGTAGGGTTCCACTGAGTAGGATGAGTGTGTTTTTACAGTCGTGAGGAGTGTACCTGAAGTATGTGCTCATTCTAGAAACTCCACAACAGAAACAGAATGAGTCGTGAATCACAGGATGCATCGAACACAGAAATATTGAATACACACAAAGTCCCTGACATGTAACAATAGCATTAAAAAGGGTTAATGCTGTTGTTACAGCAAACACACAGAGCGACAGGAGCAGGATACAGGTGAATGTTTGTGTGTTTTGGCCTCAAAATAAAGTCTGATTCTTTAAAAACAGCTTGACATGTTATTGGAATAGCGCCACACTGTGACGGCGAGGGTCAAACAGAAGAGTTATCCTCCGTAGGAACCACATCCCTTCAGCCCCGGAGACACAAATCTCCCCACGGTCCGGGGTCTCACATGAAAGTGTGTATCACAAGCAGAATACGAAAGTGTGCGACTGCAGGGAGAGACGTGTGTGGACATGCACGACACAGCGGCCGCAGCAGGAACACGTAATGTGACCATAGACTGTAAATATTAACAGACGTAGTCAGGCCAATCTGGGCCTACCATTGTTGGTATTTCTTTTTTTAAATTGTTTTTGCATGTAGTTTCTTTTTATTTATTATTATTTTTTACATTTGTCCCTGATGACATTTTCAATAACTCATTTTGCTTATGAACAATATGTTTAAGATTTTGATATCTGTGCTAAATTTACGTTGGAGCTAAAACCGGAGCCTTTACTTTACTTTACCCTTGTAATGACTGAAGTAATTAGGGGTGGGATTAAATAAGTGTTCACTTCTTCCCACTCCTTTTCGAGCATCCATAAGTGTTATGTTAGTATCACTCACTCTTTTTGTTATTACCCCTTTGTTATATTTTGTACATGTACCTAAGTTGCTTGAACTAATTATTTCTATGCCCGCTTACTTGCTCGGAATGAATAAATAAATAAAAAAAATAAAAATAAAAAAAAACTAATGGGCCAAAAATTGGGCTCTCATGGAGTGACTCAAAACGGCCGCGGGGGCTGGAAAATGTGAAAAAAACGCATCTGTGCATGCGTCAGCTGCACGAGCTCCATTCATTTAAACGAGAGACTTCTAAAGTCCACAGCGACTAAACTAGACTGGTCCAGAACACTCAGCATTGACACACATGTGGAACGGAGCTTTGGGCCAAGAGCCAACTTTTGGACCATCCTGTAAAGACGTTTTCCAGAGGTAAGAAGATGCTTTACATTAGCATTGGCTAATTCTTATTCCGGTCCACCCCCACAGGCCCGGGGTGGTACTGCAGCATGTCAGCGCACGTCATTTTGGACACTTTTGAGCCGGGACCCGCCCACACTGAACGTGACGCACAATACCACACCCCCACCTCATCCCCCACTCTCCACACTGACCCCCCTCCTCTGGGCTGTACCACCGTGTTCAGGCCTGGACCGTGCTCAGGCCTGGACCGTGCTCAGGCCTGGACCGTGCTCAGGCCTGGACCGTGCTCAGGCCTGGACCGGCTGAAGCCCAGTTGCACCGGTCACACGGCACCTAAAGCCCGGATCAAATTGCAATCTGGGGCTCTAAGTACGTACACATTTAGCTCAATATAAAAGTTTCACATGAATCATACGTCATCATAGAAAACACCCGTAGGTTTCCCTCAAGTGCTCCGGTTTCCTCAAATAAATTAAGGGTCAATAGATAACGTATAAAAGATAAATGTGTTAAACCACAGTGAGACTTGCTCCACATTAAAATTAGCAACACATTTGATTTAATGCATTTTCAATATTTTTTTCAGGTTTCAGTTCTCTCTAAAATGTGAATAATCCTAGTGCATTTAAACACTATGCTATCGTTACAGAAATCAAACTGAATCATAATAACTGGTTATATTTCATTAAAATTACAGCCCTTTACGTCTGTTTGAGTAAGAGTTCGCTGCACCCTCACCTTTGAACCTCGGTGCTTCTTCGTTCTTCATGAACAGAGGAGAGTGACCATTAAGATCGAGTAAAGAAAGTGTAAATGTCTGCAGTAACAACACGAGCCCACAATGCACCTCAAGGTTCATCTTTTCAAATAACAGCTTTTTCTTTATAAATGTAAATCATTGGGACGTAGTTTTACATTTCAATAGGCCTTTCATAATTCACCAAACATTCATCGCTGCATTAAAATTCATAGATCACGTTTCTTTTCGTGAGATCCTTGAAAATATAAATGACAATAGAGATTTTTCTCCTCAAAAGTGCGGAAATATTGAAGTTCATGTTGATAATAGCAGGGCTGGCAACTCGTGAATATTTTGATGATTCATTCATTTAGAGATTACTCCTTCAATTCATTTAGTAGTCATTTAGAACATGGGATATTCTTCTAAATTTAAAGTGTAAAGCTGGGCTAAAGCTTTTCTTTTTCATAAATAACCTGTGTCCCAAAAGGAAGTGAAAATAATCAGACTTGTAAGAAAGAGTAGTGGGAGTCACCATTAAAGTGATAGTCTGGATCTAAATGAATTACAAATGTTAAGAATTGTAGTAAATTGACCTCCTGGCCTTAAATGTTGATATAAAATAAGTAATTTTATTAATTCTAATATTGTGGGTAAGTCCCGCCTTCCCTTCTCTTAGCTATAGTTCAGAATCCACTATGCCGTCCACGTTAACCAATCACGTGATGCCAAAGGCTGTCAATCATCGGCGCTGATGCTGAACCTATATCTATAATCATTTATATATGAACCTATATCCATAATCATTTATATATGAACCTATATCCATAATCATTTATATATGAACCTATATCCATAATCATTTATATATGAACCTATATCCATAATCATTTATATATGAACCTATATCCATAATCATGTATATACTGAACCTATATCCATAATCATTTATATACGAACATATATCCATAATCATTTATATATGAACCTATATCCATAATCATGTATATACTGAACCTATATCCATAATCATTTATATATGAACATATATCCATAATCATTTATATATGAACCTATATCCATAATCATTTATATATGAACATATATCCATAATCATTTATATATGAACCTATATCCATAATCATTTATATACTGAATCTATATCCATAATCATTTATATATGAACCTATATCCATAATCATTTATATATGAACCTATATCCTTAATCACAAATAATTCTGAAAGCCTCCGTGCATGTGTGTTAATAATGTATATCTATAATGTGTTCTCAGATTAACATTTAAATGTGTTGATTGATTGTTACGGAAACGTAGGCGTAGACCAATCAGAAAGGAAGGGGGAGGAGCTTGGGCCGTTTTTTTTCAAATCAAGTACCTCTCTTTTTTTCTGACAAACTCTGACAATCACTTTAAATGCTTTGGTGAGAGCTGATTGGCTGAGTGAGGGTGGTCTTCTCTTTTTCACTTCTGTCTGATAAAGTTGATCAATGTGAGAGAAGCAAAATGTTTAAGAGCATGGAACTAGAACAAATGTTTTTACGTAACTCAGTTTTATGTGGTTAGAAAGTTAAGTTCCCCAGTTTTATTTAAAGCTGCAGGAGGACATTCTGAACAATTCCAGAAAAAAAACGCTTATAATTTGATTGAGACATTTATGCAATTTAATTTT